CTGCTGATACCCAGTCTGGGAATACTGCCGGCAGTTAGGATTTGCAAAGACACCACAGTGATATCAAAATGGTACTTTTTTTATTGTAAAAGAATTAGAAGTTTTAAAGAAGAAGAATTAAAAGTCCAATGATACAGAAAAGTGTAAAAAAAATTAAACCCCATTTCATCCATAACCAATGTTATTTCTCTGCTGAAAAAACATATGCACCTACATGGAGGATTTTTCCCCCTATAGCTTAGAAAAATATAACATTATACAATTACATTGTATTTTTCTCTCTTAAATTATAGTCATCCTTCCTTGTCAATAAATTCTCAACTACTTTTAGTAGCAACATAATATTCCATCTTTTTTTAAGGTTTTATTTTTAAGTAATGTCTACACCCAACATAGGGCTCAAACCCACAACCTCGAGATCAAGAGTTGTATGTTCTACTGACTGAGCCAGCCAGGCATGCCCATAATATTCTATCTTAAGGCAATACCTTATTCCCTTATTTACAGACATTCAAGTTGCTTCCATTGTTTGCTACTACAAACAATGCTACAATAAATTTATACCAATATTCTTATTGATGAGTTTTTTTGTAGACTAGATTTCCAAAGCAGGATTACTATGATAAAGAATCACCACATTGACTGGGGCGCCTGGGTGGCTCAGTTGGTTAAGTGTCTGCCTTTGTCTCAGGTCATGATCTCCAGGTCCTGGGACCGAGCCCCACGTTGGGCTCCTTGCTCAGTGGCGAGTCTGCTTCTCCCTCTCCCTCTGTGATCTCTCTTGCTCTCACTTCTCTCTAGTAAATAAATAAAAAAAAATATTAAAGAATTACCACATTGAAAGTTTTGATATTGCCAGAATAGTTCCCAAGGATATAGAGTTTACACCATCATCAGCAATATGCATGTACTTTTCTCACACCCTTACCAGCAATAGATATCTTTTTTTTTCCATTTTTTTCAAATTCACGGGTGAAAAATGTTCTCATTTTCTTAGGAAACTGCATTTCCTTGGCTACCAATGAAGTTTCTTGTTTATTAGCCACTTGCACTTCCTTTCCTATAAAATGGCCAGTTTATATCCTTGGTCCATTTATCTAATCTTTTTTTTTTTCTTATCAATTTGTAGGAGTTCTTTGTACAGTACAGATATTAACTCTTTAGACTCCCAAATTTATATATTCAGCTCAGACCTCTGCCTTGAACTCCACACACATATCTAATTGCTCATTGCATCTCCACTTGGGTGACTTAGAGGCATCTCAAACTTATCATGTCTCGAACTGAATTTCTGGTCTTTCACAGAAAATCTGTTTCTCCCACAATGTCCCCCATCTCAGTAAATGACAATTCTATGCTCCCAAGTTGCTCATTGTCATCTTTGACTCCTCTTTCTCTCACAACTCACATCCAGTTGCATATTGTGTTAGCTCTGCTGTCCAAGTACATCCAAATCTGACCACTTCCTCTGAATTCTACTGGAGCCACCCTGATCCATGTCACTATCATCTTTCTCTTGGATTCTAGCAATAGTGTTCTGAACAAACAACTGTTTTCCGCTTTTCACTCATTTCAATAGCAGCCAAAAAAGATATTTATAAAACTATGGAAGATAAGCCGTATCAGATGAACCCCCTCGCCCTCTGCCCGCCACAGACTTCCAGCCTCACTTAGAAGTAAAACCCAGGGTTTTTATCATGAATGGATGTTGTACTTTGTTAAATACTTTTTCTGTGTCTATTGAAATGATCACATGGTTCTTATCCTTTCTCTTATTGAAGTGATGTATCACATTAATTTGTGAATAGTGAACCACTCTTGCAATCCAGGAATAGAAAATCCAGAAATAAACCCACAATTATATAGTGAATTAATCTTTGACAAAGCAGGGAAGAATACCCAATGGGGAAAAGTCTCTTCAACAAATGGTATTGGGAAAACTGGACCACTTTCTTATACCATATACAACAATAAATTCAAAATGGATTAAAGATCTCAAAGTGAGACCTGAAGCCATAAAAATCCTAGAAGAGAGCACAGGCAGCAGCTTCCCTGACATCAGCCAGAGCAACTTTTTACTAGATAGGTCTCCTGAGGCAAGGGATACAAAAGCAAAAATAAACTATTGGGACAACATCAAAATAAAAAGCTTCTAAAAGGCAACCTATGGAATGGGAGAAGATATTTGCAAATGACATATCTGAAAGAGGAGTCAAAGATGACAATGAGCAACTTATAAGTTGTATAAGTTATAATTGTATAAGTTACAATGTTAAAATTGTATAACTTATACAACTTATAAGTTGTATGAGTTATATAGCAACTTATACAACTCAACACCCAAAAAAACACCTAATTAAAAAATGGGCAGGAGGGCGCCTGGATGGCTCAGTCGTTAAGCGTCTGCCTTCGGCTCAGGTCATGATCCCACGGTCCTGGGACTGAGCCCCGCATTGGGCTCCCACTACCCCTGCTTGTGTTCCCTCTCTCGCTATGTCTCTCTCTGTCAAATAATTAAATAAAATCTTAAAAAAAAAAAAATGGGCAGGAGACATGAACAGACATTTCTCCAAAGACAACATACAGATGGCCAATAGGCACATGAAAAGATACTCATCATCACTTATCATCAGGGAAATGCAAATCAAAACCACTCTGAGATATCCCCTCACACCTGTCAGAATGGCTAAAATCAACAATACAAGAAACAACAGGTGTTGGCAAGAATGTGAGAAAGGGGAACCCACTTGCACTGTTAGTGGGAATATAAAGTGGTGCAGCCACTGTGGAAAACAGTATGGAGTTTCCTCAAAAAGTTAAAAATAGAACTAACCTATGATCCAGCAATTGCACTACTGGGTATTTACCCAAGGAATACAAAACACTAATTCAAAGGGATACAGGCACCCTTATGTTTATAGCAGCATTATTTACATTAGCCAAGATGATGGAAGCAGCCCAAGTGTCCATCGATTGCTGAGGGATAAAGAAGCTGTGAAATATATAGATCTATCTATCTATCTATCTATCATCTATCATCTATCCATCCAGCCATACTGGCACTTTGCTATTATAGCATATATATATAATAGCATATATATATATTTATAGCATATATATATATATAAAATTCAGAATGAAATCTTGCCATTTGCAACAACATAGGTGGATCTAGAGAGTATAACGCTAAGCAAAATAAGCCAGTCAGAGGAAGACAAATACCATATGATTTATTCATATGTTGAATTTAAGAAAAAAACAAAGGAGCAAAGGGAAAAAAGAGAGAGACAAACCAAGAAACAGACTGTCTCTCTCTCTTTTTTTTTTAGAGGTAGAAAGAGGGAGGGAGGTGGGGAGGGGCAGAATATTAAGCAGGCTCCACGCCTAGTATTAAGGCTGATATGGGGCTCCACCTCACAACCCTGAGATCATGACCTGAGCTGAAATCGAGTTGGACGCTTAATTGACTGAGCCACCCAGGCCCCCTAAGAAACAAACTCTTAACTATAGAGAACAAACTGGTGGTTACCCAAGAGGGGAGGTGGGTGGGGGATTGGTTAAATAGGTGATGGGAATTTAGGAGTGCACTTGTGATGCACACCTGGTGAGGTATAGAATTGTTGAATAAAATAAACAAACAAAAAAAAGAAGTGAAAACCAGTCATTTCACTGGCCCCCAGGATGCTACAACCTCCCCTTACATCCTCATGCTCTATTATTTACTCCGTTAGTCTCCAACCATACTGGCACTTTGCTATTCCTTGAACGGGCAGACATAGTCTTGCCCCAGGACTTTTGACTTGTACTTTCTGGCTGGAATGATTCCCCTTCGGATGGCTTGCTCTGTCTTTCAAATCTTTAGCACCATCTTTTTTTTTTTTTTTACTTTTTGCTTTTTTAAAGCAGGCTCCACACCCAGCACAGAGCTCAACGCTGGGCTGGAACTCACAACCCTGAGATCAAGACCTGAGCTGCAATCAAGAGTGGGTCGCCCATCCGAATGATCCACCCAGACGCCCCTAATACCATCTAACAGTCTGTATGTTTTACTTAATTGTTTATGTTTCTCTCCACCATAGTATAAACTCCAAGGTCAGGATTTTTGTCACTTTTTGGTTCACTGCTATATCCTTGGTACTAACCATTTGGTAGGTGCTCAGTAGAATTAGTAGAATGAATATGTAGGTAGATATTTTCCTGAGTTTGTCACATGTATTTATGTTTTTGATGTCTTCTGCCATGCAAAATATTTTTATTTACATACATCTATTGGTTTTGAATTTTTTTTTTTTTAAGGCTCAACTTTTGTTCCCTCCGGGACTGTTCTGACCTAATATTGTTTCATTAAACTTTTTATTGTGGAAAACTTCAAACGCACACAAGAGAGATACATCTCATTATTCCTCTTTTGGAAATTCCATAAAGGCAGAGACGAAACTCCGATTTTCAGTCTCCATCTTCTGCCACGACTTCAGCAACATCAGGGAATGTGTTTCCAAAGAATGAATTAACAGCACGAGGGCTCTCCGGGGCAGATGCCTCTCAGGCCCCACAGACAGCCCAGCACAGTCTTGGAGGCGGCAGTTTGCTGACTGAAGGCAGCTGTCCGGATTTCTTCCGGCAGGCCTGACGCTCGCGTAGACACGCTCCCTGCCACCTCCAGGTTTGGCCTAGGTTGCCAGAATGGGAGGAGCTCTGACTTCCGACTGAACAAAGTTTTTCCTTCGGCCCGCCGATCCCTGCCCCACCCGGGCCAGAGGCCCCGTCTCACCGACTAGGCCTCTCCGCCGCCGACGCTCCCCGCGCGCGTTCCCTCTTCTCCAACCCTTCTTTTCCCCCTCCCCCCGGCAGTGGCGGTTGGTCGCGCGCCGTCGTCCCTTTCCCGCCCCCTCCGCTAACGAGCGGGCTCCAGACCCTCTGGGATTGGCTGCGCCTGAGCGCATCTTCTTCCAGCCTCTCTGATTGGATGTAGGACGCGCGGGATGTCGGCCCCGATTGGCTAGGTCAGAGCGCCTGCGCGGCGGGGTTCTCGGTCGCCAGCCATTCCTGGGGAGGACTGCCGGCCGGTCGGACGTCTCGCCTGTCGCTGGAGGAGAGGTCCCGGCTCTCCGGGAAGGCGGCTGCGGCGGCAAAATGAAGATATTTGTGGGAAACGTCGATGGGGCGGATACAACGCCAGAGGAGCTAGCAGCCCTCTTCGCGCCCTACGGCACGGTCATGAGCTGCGCCGTCATGAAACAGTTCGCCTTCGTGCACATGCGCGAGAACGCAGGCGCGCTGCGCGCCATCGAGGCCCTGCACGGCCACGAGCTGCGGCCGGGGCGCGCGCTCGTGGTGGAGATGTCGCGCCCACGGCCTCTTAACACTTGGAAGATTTTCGTGGGCAATGTGTCGGCTGCGTGCACGAGCCAGGAATTGCGCAGCCTTTTCGAGCGCCGCGGACGCGTCATCGAGTGTGACGTGGTGAAAGGTAACGCGGGGGCGCGCGGGGGCGGGGGCGCGGGCGCGCTCTGGGCACTCTGCTTGTTAGCCACGCCCCTTTCCCGGGGGTCGGTCACCGCGCGGTTGGGGAGGGTGGGGAAGTCCGCGGGAGCGAGGCCTGAGGTGTTGGGGGAGCGTTGGGTAGAGCCACCCTCCTCCCCTGCGGTCCAAGCACCACTCTCCAGATGGGAGGAAGCGGCTCTGGGTGGGTTCGGCGGCCAATGTGAGCCGAGCTACGGGGCCGGGGACGCGCCTGAGAGACTTGGGAGTGTACCGGGGGCGCGCCTTCCACTGGTCTCCTGGGCCTGGCACCGAGCGGAAATTGGGAAGTGACGGGCACAAGCCGGATCATGGAGCGGGGAAGATTTCGCCACTTCCCCACTTTCTCTCCAGACGTCGGTCAGAGAGCAAGGGAAGAGGGAAAAGGTGGGGGCTGACGCCCCAAGGCCACCCTCGTGTTCCCTCCCGATGAATGCTCCCGAGCGGAAGGTAACGGGGCCCTTGGACGTTTCTCGGGCTGGGATCTTACAGCTTTGTGTGGCTTGGGTCTACTCATGGGTGTAGTTACTCGTGGGTACAGGAGGGGCCCCTTCCGAATCACTTTGGCCTTTCAGTATTGTTAGGTGGGTTAAGCGTGGCAACGCTGTTTTCCAAGTCCCTCAAACTTGGGTTTTTTTCCTTTGGGCTCGATTTTACATCTATAAACTGGAAACCCGGACCTTTTGAATGTGGAAGGAGGGTGGTTTTATCAAGGCCTCTTCCTTAGCTTCTACTTGCCAGCCCATGCCCTCGGGGCAGTGTTCTTTTATGAGGTCGGTGATTTTGCGAGGGGTCATACTCTGGCTGAGGGGCCATGGAGAGGGGTGCGTGAGAGGTTTTCGTTAAACATTGGCAAAACAGATTTACTTGCTGTTCGTCTTTGCTGGAGTAGTCTAATCCTTAGGGTAGATCCCTAGTTTGCCTTCCAGAAAAATGTATCGCTGTAATTTAGGCCTGACTTCTTTTTGGGACCCAGTTGACTTTTGTAGTCTAGGTTTCTATCCTGTAAGTTCTTTTTCTTTTATGTTGGCAGGGTTTGGTGGGATAGCCCTTGTGGTTGTGGCCAGTTTCTTTTCCTCTGGGAACAGATCAGAGTTAACTTTGCTTTGCCATCTTGAAGGATGCAACCTGGGGGAGCATCTGATGCCCTACTCCTGGTGTTGGATTCATACCTTCCCTTATCCTGTGTGAAAAGTTTTGGGGATAGGAAATAAGTGAGTGCAGGTGCTTATTTCCACCAAGACACTTCATTTGGTCTCCTGGAAAGGCTTATCTTCTGGGCCATTCTTTGTTCCTTTTATAACTGGGAGAGTGTAAAGGGTCATGGTCTCCACTGCTAGAAGCAATTCCTTGCTTTGCATTAATATCGCATTCTCTTTCCCTCAACTCAGGTTATGCAAGTCTGCGAATATCCGGAATCAGGCTTTCCTGCTCGGTGCTCCAAGGCAGGCTGTATGGTGCACTGATTTTTGCTTTTGTTTAGAGTTAGAGTAGGAAGGGCATCTGGCCAGGAAATGGATGGGGGTACATGACTCATTATGAGAGTTTTGTGTTTAATTGATCTACTAAGTTTCTTTTGTGCTTCTCAGGCAAGATGACTACTAGATTGGGAATCTAGAAACTAGCATCTGAGGGGACAGTCTCCATGGAACTCATTGGTCAAGAAGCTTGCTTTGAGGTGGTAGAGAAACCAGAAATTTGTCTGGATTCGCTCTGGACTGAAACCAAGTGACAGTGGTGGGGAGGGTGAAGTGGATCACTGCATGTGGTTTATAGAACTCCTGGCTCACTCTTAGTGAAAAGTGAAAGTTTTGTCTGTTTTATCCTTTTGTAAACATTGAGCTAGGAGAAATGTATTAACTGCATCAGGGAGTAGTGGTTAGCTGTTATTTGTAGTTACCCTGGTACATGACAGAGGTCCTGATATACTTTGCTGTAAGAGGCTCTCTGGGAAAGATTTGACTTACCATATTCTCCACTGAGGCTTTTCTGTCTCTCTGGGGTGAAAGAAAGTGAAGTTTTTAAGTTGGGAATGTAGCAGAAGAGACTGGTTCTGGCTTTATAAAAACTAATTTCTTGGGTTGGGAATAGGCATTCGATGATCGAATCTTCAGGTGTTGGGCTGTGAGGTCTTTGAAAAGCACAGAAGCTTGGGGTTGCACAGGACAATCAGTTCTGTTTTATTTCACAGAGGAAAAACATAGTTGCTTGGTTACCCCTGAAGCTTAGATATGATATGATTTGTAGAGCAAAAATCTCCATAGCAACAGTGGATTGTAACTACTGTCCATGGGTTACATTCTGTTGGGTGTTCAAAGATGAAGTATGTAAGTTGCTGACAGCTTTAGGAACCATTTAGGCTTCAGGGGAGGTCTGAAAGGCAGAAGAGGAAGCGGTTTCCTCTATTTTTTTTTTTTTTGTAGGTGGCCATTTTACCCTCTTGTACACAAATCTGTAGTTTAAAGTTAAGAGATTTCTACTCTTCTCAGGATAGGAAAATTCATTTTTCTGGATTCTCTTAACTTTGATGCTAGAGGAATTGTGATGCCACCAGATCAATAGGTGATCTGTGTAAAACATTGTTTGCTAGTGCCTTTAAATGTAGTGGATTTCTTTCAGTGCTTACTAGCCGCTGAACTAGCTCTTCAGGCAGGTGGGTTCCTGGAGTTCTCTAGATTTCTGGTTTTTCATCGTCCTAGGATTAAGTGGGTTCCTGGGCATTTTTGATAGGGCTAGGTCTTGGTTTGGCTGCTGGCTGTGATAGGGTTAGCCCCGATGTGACTGAATCAGCTGGACAACCCAAGTCACACTTCTCTTTATAACGTCTGGCTTAGGAACTTTTTGATGTAAATTGATTATAATTCTGTCTGATGGTTTTTTTAAAAACCAGTGATAAAAATCAGTGATATAACTCATCTGGGTGGTCAGTTGAATTTTACATGTGAAATCTCAGTTTTCAAATTTCAACTAGGTCCGTTTCTTAACAAAACCCAGCTAAATAGGGAGTAGACAGTGGGATGTCCTGTTGCTCTTGTAAACTGTTTGAAGTTTTTGTTTTTGGGTGTTTTTCCCTAGCTTGTTACAGTCTCAGGAATCTGTGGGTGGGTTAGCCAGGACTATAGTACCATTCGTTAGTATTCTCTCATAGTGCCTGGAGATTTTTTTCCATTTCCCTTAATCTGCCTACAAGCTCCCATTTTCTGTTTGCCATTGCATGCCCTGGAGGGTCAGCCCAGCCCCTGCTTTTAACCAGATCTCTGACCGCCAGTATCTATTTTTAGCTACCTTTACCCAAAGTGGAGGTGAGAGACCAAAGGAGAATTCTAGTACCCTGTGGCTAGATTCCAAAAGGAACACTTTTGCCTTAATTGGTAGGTAAGAAATAAGGTTCTGACCATGGGGGTGTGAGGACTGAGAGTTGGGATGATTCATTTTGTTTTTTTATCATCTCTGGCAGTTGTAAGTTCGCATATACAAACGGTATGGTAGCTCTTGTTTTTTGTTATTACAAATGAAGGAAAATGTTCTGTAGGGAGAGAAGCTTATGGTTAAATAATCATCATAATCAGCCTTTAAATAATCATCATAATTTTTTACCATTATATAGTTATTTATGTTTTGCAAGTCACTTTTATTTTTTATTTGAATCTCCTAACTCTTGAGGTGGGTAGAACAGACTTGGCAAGTCAGTGATACCAGGATCTATAACTGAGGCTTTTAAGTGCCTAACTCAGGATTCCTTGTGCTATACCATACTTTCTGACTTGTTGATTATATTTTTATTTTCATTTGTAAGAGATGCAGGTTGGTGGCATTGCCTCACGTTGAGAAAAATGACTTTCTTAGAACAGCTAGAGAGGGCATCCTGGTATGAAAATTTCTAGAAATTAGAGGATACTTACTTATTTCAAGGCTATTTAAAAGGATTTCTCATCTTCAAGAATGGAATTTTAGTGATTTCATTCAGGTAGTTCTTCATTTCCTAAACTGATGTGAGAGAGATGGGGTCCTGGTACTTGGTACTAAGTAGCCACAGATTCAGATGGGTTTAAGTGCATGGCCTTATTTCCCATGAGCATGATCTTGTCATTGTTTTTCATATCCTACTTGCACCATTGTGGTTTGTGAGTTTGGACATAAATAAGAATTTCTTCCCACTCCTCGCCCTTCTAATCTAATATTGTCTCCTTCTGTGTGGTAGATGAGTAGGACATTGAGAGTAGCATCCTGTCTTAAGTCTGTATCCCACCACAGCTCATTCAGATCCTGAATGAGGACCTCAAGGGTAACCTGCTTAGCAGAGCCTGCAAGCTGCAGTAATTGCAGCTTCTCACCTTGAAGCTAGGAAACCAGATCTTTCCTGTAAACAGTCGCTCTGTGAACAGGAGTGCAAGGGGTAAGGTATATTTCTGTCCTTCGAAGAGGAACAAGTAGAGGATATGACGTAGCCTGGGGGAGGGGGCTTGAGCCTGAACTCAGCCAGGAGGCTTGGTTTCCATTCCCACACCTCATTGGCTTAAATGGGTTCCAGCCTTTCCTGTTCTAAGTTTAAAATTTCTAGTCCTGTTACACGGTCCTGCCTTACACATTGACTTCTCAGGGATAGACTGGTATAGTGAAGGGGCACGGAAGAACTGAGATTCTGTTCCTGGCTCTGATTTTGATTTAGGGCAAGCCATATAAATTCTCTGAGCATGTTTGCCCACCTGAAAAATGGAGATAATGATCTTTTGCTCTGCCTGCCTCACAGGATTGTTGTGAGGCCCAAATGAAGGCCTGTGCATGGAAATACTTTGAAAACGGAAGTACTCTGAGAAAAGGGGGAGATCACGTTGGAGGAATTTAATGAACTGTGTGTTGCAATCTAGCTCTCTCGCTTTAATTGGACCCTGGGCTGAGACATGGGTCATGCATGCTAAGACGTAGTGGTCATTTCTAGTGTTTCAGAGTTAAGCTTCAAAGGTGAGCAGTAGTGTTTGGTGACTTGGATTAGAGAACACTAAATAATTGAGTGATCCAGGAACCTTTTCTGTGTTTTGTTTGGTGGTTTACACTTAGAGGAGCTGGAAAGATTTTTCTCCTGTGTTAGTTCATCTTTGCTCTTTTTTCTCTCGCCAGAAAGTTGGGTGAGGTAGCAGGGGGAAAGGGAAGAGTGGGGAGAAGGCCATAGGGAAAGGTGACTGCTTGGGACAGTCTGGAAGCTTTGTTATGTGGGAGCCATGTTTTATGACATACTCCTGGAGAGGAGGGTTTGGAGGCCTGGAGGTAGCTGGCAACAGCTGGGTGCTGTTGTGTGTCCAGTTTGGGACCCATCAGGTAGCATGCCCTGCCCCCCTAATTGCTAACCCTCTGTCTGCTGCTTTATCAGACTACGCGTTTGTTCACATGGAGAAGGAAGCAGATGCCAAAGCCGCCATCGCGCAGCTCAACGGCAAAGAAGTGAAGGGCAAGCGCATCAACGTGGAACTCTCAACCAAGGGTCAGAAGAAGGGGCCCGGCCTGGCTATCCAGTCTGGGGACAAGACCAAGAAACCAGGGGCTGGGGATACGGCATTCCCTGGAACTGGTGGCTTCTCTGCCACCTTCGACTACCAGCAGGCTTTTGGCAACAGCACTGGTGGCTTTGATGGGCAAGCCCGTCAGCCCACACCACCCTTCTTTGGTCGCGACCGCAGCCCCCTGCGCCGTTCACCTCCCCGAGCCTCCTACGTGGCTCCTCTGACGGCCCAGCCAGCCACCTACCGGGCCCAGCCCTCAGTGTCGCTGGGAGCTGCCTACAGGGCCCAGCCTTCTGCCTCTTTGGGTGTCGGCTATCGGACTCAGCCCATGACCGCACAGGCAGCCTCTTACCGCGCTCAGCCCTCTGTCTCCCTTGGGGCCCCATACAGGGGCCAGCTGGCTAGCCCTAGCTCCCAGTCTGCCGCAGCTTCCTCGCTTGGCCCATATGGTGGAGCCCAGCCCTCGGCCTCGGCCCTCTCCTCCTACGGGGGTCAGCCAGCTGCGGCTTCCTCGCTCAACTCCTATGGGGCTCAGGGTTCCTCCCTTGCCTCCTATGGTAACCAGCCATCCTCTTACGGCGCACAGGCTGCCTCTTCCTATGGGGTTCGCGCGGCTGCCTCCTCCTACAACACCCAGGGAGCAGCTTCCTCCCTAGGCTCGTATGGGGCCCAGGCAGCCTCCTATGGGGCCCAGTCTGCAGCCTCCTCACTAGCTTATGGGGCCCAGGCAGCTTCTTACAATGCCCAGCCCTCGGCCTCTTACAATGCCCAGTCTGCCCCGTATGCTGCACAACAGGCTGCTTCCTACTCTTCCCAGCCGGCTGCCTATGTGGCACAGCCAGCTACAGCTGCTGCCTATGCCAGCCAACCAGCTGCCTACGCTGCACAAGCCACTACCCCAATGGCTGGCTCCTATGGGGCCCAGCCGGTTGTTCAGACCCAGCTGAATAGTTATGGGGCTCAAGCATCAATGGGCCTGTCCGGCTCCTATGGGGCTCAGTCAGCTGCTGCGGCCACTGGCTCCTATGGTGCTGCAGCTGCCTACGGGGCCCAGCCTTCTGCCACCCTGGCAGCTCCGTACCGCACTCAGTCGTCAGCCTCTTTGGCTGCTTCCTATGCTGCCCAGCAGCATCCCCAGGCTGCTGCCTCCTACCGTGGCCAGCCGGGCAATGCCTACGATGGGGCAGGTCAGCCGTCTGCAGCCTACCTGTCCATGTCCCAGGGGGCCGTTGCCAACGCCAACAGCACCCCGCCGCCCTATGAGCGTACCCGCCTCTCCCCACCCCGGGCCAGCTACGACGATCCCTACAAAAAGGCTGTCGCCATGTCGAAAAGGTACTGTATGCCCCCCCGCCTCTGCCCCCAGCTGGGGCTTAGGGCAAGGGGCTGAGGTTGGCATGGGAGGGAAACTGGAGCCATTGGCCCCTCCCTTGGTCTTCTTTCCTCTCCTCCCGTGGGATGTCCAAAGGCCGAGGGGGTTGATGTCTGTGAACTTCTCTGGTCACCAGGGTTCAGGTGGAGCGTTAGTGCTCAGCCTGGGGTGGTACCAGCTAGTCAGGCTGGGATAAGTGTCACCTGTCTAGGCTAGCCCAAGTGCCATTGGAGCTACTGCCTGCAGGATTGTGGCCCCATAGCCTTTCCCACCGTCTCAAGGATCCTTAAACCTGTTATGTGGTTGTCCTGGCTTTGGTGGGGTGGGTTTGAAAGAGTAGTCCCTTTGGCACTCACTGGCTGAAGGCAAGGTGTATGAGGTGCGTCCACTCTTTGGGAAGTTGGGGACCTTGCTTTTGTCCGCCGTTCTGTTGATAAACAACCAAGGTCTTTCTGTGCAGGGCCCGGGGGGATAGTTTGTTTGTGGTTTGGGAACGTAGACCAAATCCACCTTGGCCAGTTGAGAAGGGAGGGCTTCAGTGGTGGGCTTGGTTTCCCACTGAGTTGAACCAGGCTTGATTTCTTGCCCTGGATAGGGTGATGAGCCTTCTGACAAAATCTTGTTTGTTGGAGACCAATCTGATCACACCCTCCCTATCCCCATTGGCATCTCCCCCATGCCCACCTGGAGCCCTCCCCTCAATTGTCTCATTCACCAACTGTCTTCTTCTCTCGACTAGGTATGGTTCCGACCGGCGTTTAGCCGAGCTCTCTGATTACCGCCGTTTATCAGAGTCGCAGCTTTCGTTCCGCCGCTCGCCGACAAAGTCCTCGCTGGATTACCGTCGCCTGCCCGATGCCCATTCCGATTACGCACGCTATTCGGGCTCCTATAATGATTACCTGCGGGCAGCTCAGATGCACTCTGGCTACCAGCGCCGCATGTAGGGCCGTCCTGGGATGGGGCACCACAGGGAGGGAAGGAGAGGAAAGGTGGGGTAGGGTGCAGACCCAGGTTATTACCACTGGCCCATACCTCTCCTGTTTGCGGTTTTTCATCCCCTCTACCCCGTGGGCCTTCCCCAGGAGATGGTCCTTTTGAGTGTTCGGCAGTAACCTACTTTGTTCCTTCGCCTCAGCAGCAAATCTTGCTACTGGCTCTAGATCTGCGGTTTCCCCTCTCCCCTGCCTCCCATCTCCCAGGATGGGAATTTCTTTTATGTTTTTATTTTTTCCTGGCTCCCTTTTATTTTTCTGCGCGATATTTAAGGTCGTCTGGATGGGGAAGCAACCTGCAGCTGAGGTCGGCGGCGCCTTTTTCTTTTTAGATGTGAGGGAGGCCAGGAAAGGGTTAGCTTAACCATTTCCTATGTGCCAAGCTGTGCCAGCAGTCCAGGGGACCCTGACTTTGTCCCTCTATAGACTGTGTTGAGACTGAGTTCCTGTCGGGACAGTCGGTTGGTATATGTCCAAATCCCTACTGACCCCCCGATGTTCTAGCTGATGCTGAGTGGCGCAGTCCCACATCCCCATCTCCCCAAGTAGGTGGTGTTAGAAAACCTTGATTTTTTTTCCCTTTTGTATGGACTACAAATAAAACTTGGGGCAATTTGCAGTTTGGAAACCTGGTTGTCATTGTCTTGATTGCACTCAGTTTCAGAGGAGCCAGTTTGACATCCAGGAAGACATGATAGCTAAAGGAAAGGCAGCTGGAGAACCCAGGGCAGATACGGAAAGGGGTTTGAATGTGGGAATTAGTGATTTTCCTGCTGCCCAGAGGGATTTAGGTCATCATCGTCCTGCTAGTCTGCCATCTTTAGGACTGGAGAGTCCAGACCAAGTTGCTTGGACTTTTCTCAGCCCTTAACTTGAATTGATCACACCAAGATGCAGTATATTTACTGCCCATTTTCCCCTAACTTGTCTCCAGTTCAGAAGCAACCTGTGCTCCAGCAGGGTGGTTCTGGGGTGTGGCTTCTCAAGTGAGAAGTGAGGAAATGGGCTGCTTTGGTGCTTACAAGTCTAGTGGATCCTCCAGGGGGTGGACTTGAGTGAGTGCTGGAGCTGGGACCCAGAAGGGAGCCAGTGGTGGGGTAGGGGTGATGTCAGTGTCTGGTACTTCCCTGTGGTTAGAGAAAGGAACAGGGACAATTGGAAGCAGGTATGGGGGATCTGGCCATAGACCTGGTATTCCGCCTGTTGAACCATCACCATGGAGCGTCCTTCCTGCGTCCTGCCAACTTCTGCCATGATGGTGCCCTGAGACACCCTGTCTCCATTTGTTAGGGTTTCCAGATGTTTTCTTGCTGGGTTTATAGTTGAAGGTATCCTCACAGATTGGGAAGGGGGTGAGGTACAAGCATAACCCAAGTAGGGATCCTGGGTTAGAGTGAGGAATTGAAGATTCTTTTTATACTTTTATTCTGGGATGGGGGGCGAGGGGCTGTTGAGAGGGCCTGGCAAAAAAAAAAAAAAAGTTCCAGCCAGGGACAAGATGGAGGCTTGGGCTTACTAATAATTAGTGAATAGAAGAAGACTGGTTGGGGATGAACCTATTGATGTTCCTTTTGGAAAGGGGGCTTTAGAGATTCAATTTGGGAGCTGCTGGGGCGAGGCGATTTTGGGGACTTGTGTGTGTCAATCAAGTGGAGTTCAGGTGGGTTCTTTTCTGCCTCTCACTGGTTTCTCGTGAATTTGCCTGTGACAGAGTAGCTTGCCCCCAGATGTTCTCTTCCTTCTTCCCAGCGGGCAAAAGTATATGATCTTTATAACCATGAGCTCTTGTGGATGCTAACTGGGGTAATTTCAGGGGGTTACTGGGGCCATAGTTCCTTTCCTTGCTTCTCTTTCTGCTCACTGCTTTGCTTCCAGGTGCTTTGCTGTTCCTTTTCATTTCTTTACAGGACTGGGAGGGGGAGTTCATAGGTTTCTTGTCACTTTTCTGCAGGGAGGGTGGGGTGATCTGAGGGCCAAGCTAACAAGCTTAGCTCTGGTTATTACTCTGGAAAATAGAGGGTTGGTTACAGGGCTGTGATTGTGGCCTGTGTATTTGTAATATTTCTTTGTCATGTGGCTTTCTGTCTTTCTTTTTCTCCAGTGAGGGTTCTGCCACTACCCCAGTCCCAGGGTTCCTGTGAAAAACAGCTTAATGTGCTCTTGGGACCAGTGTTCTTCTTTGCAGCCCAAATTCTTCAGAGTGACCTGGCCTAGATGATCATTCTTAACTGCCTGTCATCTTTAGATCCTGATGCCCTTGCTGTCTCAGCCCTCAGGTTTTTCGTTAAGTAGAAGAGACTACAAAGCTAAAACATTTGTCATTCTCTTCTTTCTTGCAGATTGTTTTAAAATTCGTTTCTTCTTCTTTTTAAATTATGCCACCTGTGTTAATCCTATAGCCCACTCCTCATACTTTGCTTTTAGTGGATTTCTGAGTTCCTGGGTCCTATAACTTGGAGATGGTTGGGTTGAGTGAATGGGAGGACAGACATTTGATGTGTGTTTTGGGGTAAGAGGTGGGGAATATGGGCTCCCAGTGTCCTTCAGATTTTTGCACTTCTGCATCTATTACCTCTACAACTTGGCCTTCGTTGGAGAAGTTTAAGATGATTTATTCCTGGAACAAGATTAAATAGAGGCTTCTAACCTTGTCAGTCTGCTCTCTTCTGAGGTTTGGACTTTGTTTCAAATTCTGTCTGGGGTAGGCCTGGGGCCCCATCCCTTGTACTGGAGGTAATGGGACTGTCCCTGAGAGGTCAGCCTCTGGGTAGGCTGCTTTTCTAGTCATGCCCATCAGTTAAGCTCTACCAGTGTTTGCACAGACTGTTGGTTCTCCAGTCATTTTGTCCTATCAAGCCAAGTAAGCTGACCGTAATAGGGGATGACTGAGGTCATAATGAAAATAAATTTCCTAGATTTATGGACTGTATGTAATAGAAGGTTGGGTAATAGAGAAGATAAGATGGAGAGCAGGTGAGGGCCGCCTGGGTGGCTCAGTCGGTTAAGCGTCTGCCATCGGCTTAGGTCGTGATCCCAGGATCCTGGGATCGAGCCTCCTGCGTCGGGCTCCCTGCTCAGCGGGGAGTCTGCTTCTCCTCTCTCTGCTTTCCCCCGTGCTTGTGCTCTCGCTCTCTCAAATAAATAAAATCTTTAAAAAAAAGATGAGTAGGTGAAAAATTTATGTTCACCTAAATTTTATATTTATCTTTAGAGAGATCATAAAGGGTAGAATCTAAAGTATTCCAAGAAAAAAAAAAGACATTCTTAAAATTATTTCAAGTACAGCTCTAAATCATTTGAAATACTGTGTGTCAATAGTACTGGAAATACAGTGTTCAAGTAGCTGAGCCCTTGGGCTGACCTTGAATTTATAATCTGGGGAGGCAGGACCTACCTCAATCAACTAGTTACAGTTAAACAATACTAGGGTAGTGGAAGATGAGGAAGAGGCAGTTCCACTAGTTAAAACTTTCTGGAAATGGGATTTGTTTGGTTGGAAAATTGACTTGGCCCAGAGAGAATGACTAAGGGTGTTGGCTCTAAAATCAGGTTTCCTGAGTTTGAATCATGTTTCTATTCACTTAGCTGTGTGATCTTGGACATGTCAGGAACTCTGCCTCAGTTTTTTCATCTATAAAATGAAGGTAATAGCTAACATTATTGAACACTTGCTAAGCACCGTTAAAAGTGCATTTCCTACAGGAATTTCATTTGATCTTCATTGCAATCCAGATGCCATTAAGTATTTTTAAACCTCTTTTATGAATGAGAAGTTGAGGCTGTAGGTTAAATAACTTTTCTTGAGATCACATAGTTGGAAAGTAGATAAAGGGATTGAATCAGTATTTTAAATTAACTATCCAGGACTTTGCTTGTAATCATAATACTGTAGAAGGATCAAATGAGAACATGTGTCAAGTGTAGGACCTCATAAACAGCCACTGCTCTTTAAATGCTAGCTGTCTCACAGACATGAGTTAGAACATTCTGGGGAGATTGGGGTGGCCTAGTGGAGCACACATCTGAGCAGAGGACTTTGGGTGTAGGTGTGAGTGCAGCACATATGAATAACAGTGAAGCATTGGAGTTTTTAAATGGTACCTAGGAGTGAAATAGGACATGGACTACACCATTTTTTGTCACTTCCAGTCTCAGGCAACATTTCAGTGTCCTGAGATCAGATTCTCCTTGGGTATGGAAAAGAAAGGTATGGGGTAGGAAACCTACAAAGACAGTAAGGGGAGGATAAGAGATTGTAGCTGCCAGTGGAATCAGAGGCTTAGGAAGCTTGCTTGACTGGCGTAGTCAAGGAAGGCCAGTCTGGACATCCCTGGAGAATACTGGTTTTTAATTTAAGCTCTTAACCAATAACTCATTTCTGGACAGGAGCCAGAGTTATTAACATGTATAAATTATATATATACACCCCTAAGGGTGTGAAAGTAATAGATTATTCACACTTGAATGGTTTTCACTGACATCAATGTCCCCCCCCCCCCCAGTTTGGATTTTTCCCTTATTTCTCTTCAAGAGTCCAGGCTCCAGGCACTTTTGTCTTTTTCAAGGTCTGCAGTGAGAATAATGTATATTTATGCTTGGATATGACAGATAACAGCTTTCTAGATGACTTTGGACAAGTCACTTTACCTTTTAGGTGCTTGGTAACTTGATGAGCAAATTAAAAATCACCCAAATGGCATCTAAAGTGTTCTGGACACGGTGCTTTTAAAACTCTGCATTCAATTGTTTTGTATAGTTGGGTTGGTAAGGTAGAGGATTTGGACCAGATGTTTTTAATTTATAAACCTTAATGGTTTTTAAGGGATGAATATTAAGCTTCTTTAGTATTAGTACTCAGTAAAATAGAGTTGGATAGGTCAACATTAGTATGGAGATGCTTGAACTACAAACATCTTTCTACGCAAAGCTTCATTTTTTAGCATTTGTCAAGCTGGTCATCCTGATGATCAAAAGCTGTAGATTAGGTTACCCCCTGGCTTTTGGGCACCCTGCTTTTTCTGTTTGAGGGAGACTGGAAGGCATACTGGGTAATAAGGGTAAAAGTGCTTGTTTTTAGAACTAAGGGTCCATGGTCTTAAGCTGATACTGACTGGAAATCCAAAGTATTTCTCCTTTTGGTTTCCAAAAGAAGTCTTGCATTCATTCACCCTTGTGTTAACTTAGTCAACAAATAATTGAGTGTCTACCATGTTCCAGGTGCAGTTAACATTGAGGATAGAATAGGGAAGAAGAAAAAGTTCCTGCCTTGAACAAGTATTTGATGGGGGAGGGAGGGAGGAGAAATAAATGGAATGAACAAATAGGATTTCAAGTGGTGGTAAGTATTTGGAAAAATAACATGAAGTTATGGCATGGAGTTCCAAGGTAGGGTTGGAGTAGGGGGAGGTCTTTAGATGGGGTGGCCATCGAAGGACCTTGGGGAAAGAACATTCCAGTCTGAATGAACTTGGAACAAAAAAGGCCAGTGTACTGGAGCATATTTGGGGTTTGGGGTGTGTGGGGTGGAGGGTAGTGTGTGTGGGGGGTGGGGTGGGTGTGTGTTAAAGAGATTGGGAGATTCTGGCAAGAACCAGGGTGAGTTTGAAAATTTTCCAGTTGCAGTGGGTTTTAAGAATCAGGTGATAATTTAATGTGCTTTTACTCAGTTGGATGAGCTTGCAAAATGAAACCTATTACTCCACCTTAAAGGCTTTCAGAAGGTAAATTAGATTAAGAGTGTTGGGGGCGGGAGGGGGGAGGCTGTGGTCTGCAAACTGGCATGGATTGTGATCCTGAGATTTATATTCCCAGTCCTCTCCCCTTTGGGCCTGGAGAGATTCTTAGTTTATAGAGTGAGTGGATCTCATCTGCTTTGGTATTTTGGGAGAAAGTTTATCTCCAGGGCTGTTGGGGCACACAAAATTTGGAAGATCAAACTGAAAGGAGCTGAGAGAATTTCTATACCAGATGCGTAGCCCTGCAGATCTGAGTGGTGACCCTCATCTGATGGCTGGCCTCCTTAAAAGGGCACACACACAGCTGACTAACATGGAGTTGATTTTCTTCATCACGGATTATATGGCCTTTACTCAGTTGCAGTATCAAAATCCACAATGAAAACGGACCACGATTAGTGACCACCATCTGTAAATATTTTGATGTTTTTAGGTCTTTTGCTCTTCCCACCCTAGAGTAAGTCTTGACCAGATTTCCACCATTTGATTCCTGAGTCATGTCCGGTTTTAAAACTCATTTCCACAACTTTGACTCCTTTCTTTTTATGGCCCCCACCCCCCTTTCTGGGGCTGCTTTGGACGGTTGTATGTTATGTCATCTCCACTCATGATCCCTTTCCTCATAGATAACCTCACTGCTTTTAAGTTCTTTGATCCAGCACCTTTCCCCACTCCCGCTTTTAACTCTCTTCAAAAGCTGCCTCGCAAAGGGTCATTGCTTGCTCAAAGAATACGGGATTATGTGAAGAAGCCAAAGGATGAGAAAGAAAATGTGATGAGGGAGCCGGACGCTCTGGAGAATGCTATTTTGATTGTATTTTGCTTATAGCTGGATGTGATTAGGCTCCTCTAAGGTCGGTTCTAGGAGTTTAAACCTACAGCTCTGGCTGATGGCGCCCAATAAAATAAAACAAAAAATTTTCGCTGCTCCAGTTTTTTCTCAGGGCGGGGTGGGGGCGTTTTCAATCTCCAAGGTCGCACAGAGAAGCCGTTTCTTCGTCTTGGACCCACACCGGGAGGCTGGTTCCTCGCGGGAACTGGTCTCGGCGCCTCCTGAGTAACGCAGCCTCCAACCGGGCCAACTTCGGGGCCGTTATAACCTAATTGAAGCCGCGCCCATTAACCGTTTCCAGAATTCCTTTCATCATCTATGACAGTAGTTTTGATGTGAGGGGAGCTCCGGGACTCCTAGGGCTACAGTGTGGATTCTTGGGCAAAGGAGGAGGTTGGTTCTTCAGGTGGGGAAGCTTCGTTATTTTTCTTACCTGGCGTTTGGGTTTAAGCTATCGTATAGCATCTTGGCTGCGAGGGGTTGGTGGTTGGGAGTGTAGAAGGACAAGTTCGGAGAAGGCAAAATGGAGCGGGGGATACCGTCACGATGTGCACGTGTCGGTGGCAAAACGTGGAAGCTTCACAAAATTGGCGCCACGAAGCTAAAGACCGCCACGCCGGGGCCTTAGCTCGCTCCGCCTAATGGCGGGCCGCACCCCGCCGGCGAAGCCCACGTTTGTAGTTCCTCCCCTACGCCTACCTCTTGCCCAATCAGTGACTTCGGCTTCGCGAGATAGGCGTTCATTGGCATTCGCATAAAAGCTCCGGGGTTACTGACGTTTCCACCTCTTCCCGGCCTCTCAGGTAATTGGCGTTGGTGGTAACCAATCAGGAAGAGGATCTGTGGGAACGCCTGCCTTTAACTTAACTGAGCAGCCAATCCGGTGGTACACTCACCTCCCCTTCTACCCAGAGTCACTGCTGCGGCCGCCGCCATTTTAGCGTTTTGTCAGAAGCGTCTGCGCCGCGAGGAAGAGCCCCTGCTGATTTCCGTGCGGGTGAGAGACTCCAAGCCCCTCCGCTGTCTTTTTTTTTTTTTCCCTATTAAATCTTACCTCACTCCTTTGGGCTTCAGGGGTATCGTAGTGGGGTCTTGGCCAGCGCACCCGTCTCTGAGAGCCGACCTCGGTGCTGGGCATTGCGCGGTAAGCCTGAAGCAGCCCTTCCCCCACGACCTCCCCCGAGAATACCCTGCTTTCTCCCCACCTTGCCTTCTGCCCGACATGGCTCTGTTTCCTGCCCTGAGGTCTCCATATAGATAACCGTATTTTCCTTAAATTCAGGAAAATTGAAACCCTTTTCGAGAATTTCTTGGGCCCTGTGACATTGTTGTCTGGTTGATGAGTCTGAAGCCCCCTT